ACTTTTTTTAAACAAATATTGATAAATATTGTATTAAGGGTTATAACTATTTTTGTTTATTTTACGCACATGATTGAATGATAAACGATTACCTAATTCTAAATTCATCATCATCAAACAAGTTTTCCAAATGTACTATTATAATCTTCAGTTTATAAAAAATATACTCAGTTTAGACTTTGATTAATGATGCAGTCTTAACAAATGTGCTGAGTTCACAATTTTTATGTCAGTTGAGCTATATTTTTATTTTTATAAAATCTGTGTTCTCGTAAGTTTCTCCGACAATCGGTAAACATTAATTTCAAGATGAACATTTTGCAAAGTTAAATAAATCCATCGTAAATTTATTTAACTTTTAACTTGAATTTGTAATAAATTAAATTTATTACATTACTCATACATTTTAAACAAAATACTTCATAAATAAGTTAAACAGAAATATATGGTTATGTTTTCTTAAAATTAAATCAAATATAAATGAATTGTGATAAACAATTTAAAGGTTATTGTTAGTGCATGTGCATTTCACCCATCAATCTCATTCAACAGGTTACACAAGAAAATTACTTTTTGTTGAATATTATATTTTAGCTACCAATTTTTACTATTGATTTTAAGTCAATATGAAATATCTTCTTGTAATAATTTTGTTCTCCAAAATATTTTCATTTATAAAAAAAGGACATCAGAAATATAGACTTTGAATAACTAGCATTATAGTTGAATGCAGGTCACTGCTATAACTGTCTTCAAAATACAAAGAATAACAAATTACTTAAAACAAAGTAGTTCCTAAAATTTACGGAAATCAAGTATCTAACAATTTAAAGAAAAAAATGCAAATTGAATTCTTTATCTTTTAATTATATCTTTTAACTGATATATTCCACCGTACTTTAAGCCTAAATCTAACAGATATTTATTGTGGGTAATATAGTTATTGAAATAGTTTAGAGTTGAAATTTAGCTTTTCTTTTGCCAATTATATTTTCCCTTCAGTATTTCGGTATATATTTTGTAATCCTAAAATGCAAAGATGAAATACAATAGCTTCATTTTTCAACTTAAAACAAGTTCATAATCAATAGATAATTTTACTTTTCTGCTTTTTTAAATAATATCATGTGAATATTGAATTTTCTAGTATTTTCAAAATATTAATAAAATTGATGAAAATTATAAACTAAAATATTTTGTGTATTTAAATTACTAATTTTAGTATATAGGGATTCTCCACCAAAATTTCATCACTAGACAATTCAACGTAATGTATAAAATTATCAAGGTTTTATGAAACAAGTATTGTTATAAATTAATAGAAATACTTTTAATTCGTACAATACCAATTTTTTTAAAACATTTTATAATTTGACAAATGTCACTCCTTTTTGGCGGCAGTTTTGAATTAGTCATCTTTTATATTTTTCATACAAGTTTGATTGTATGAGTTCTTTGAAAGAATAATTTAAATAGTTTGTGATCATCTTATTTAGAAAACTCAAATTTAATTATAACCACATTAATTTAAAATACATCTCGAGGAAAAAATTATAAAAGTTCTAAACCGTGAATTCGATAATTACAATAATAAAAAATTCCGTTTATTAAATTTTAAATTTTTAAAATGTAAGAAAATTTTGCAGACACTCGTATGACAAAACAATTAATTTGATAAGTTTTAAAAAAAATATTAACTATATTTTTGACTGAAAATAAAATAATATTATGTAAAAATAAAATTATTGTTTATACTGTTATCTAATTACTATTAATTATATGTATAACTGGATTTTTACAGCAACTCAATACTATATACTCGTATATGATTGTACACCAAATTTACCAGTTTATTCAATGATTTAACAATTCATTTTTCAAACTATTTCCGTTGTTTTACTTGACAAGTACGATAAATTCACTGAACCGATATGATAAGCAAACAAATTTAAATATAATAATTGTTGATGATTACTGATGATCATACTTTCATTCGAGTTCGCTATTAAATTTTAAAGAAGTTGCCTCTTATAATAAGTACTAGAAACTCTTCAAATACCTTGATTTGTTTAGGTACCTCGACATAAAACATTTTATCAATAACAAATATGCACAGAACTTCCGGGTCCATATTGAAATTAAGTTTATAATTTAATTTTTAAAATAATTAATATATATAAAAAAATACAAAGTATTTTAAGTATGAAGTTACGCTTTATAAGGTCTCAGATATTTAAATTTAAATAGAAAAATTGTACGGAACATGAAAATAGTCTACGGTAACTCAGAATTGTAAATAAATAATTAATTAAATATTCTAACAATAGACGAAATTACATTTTTATTTGCTTAAAACAAGCAGCTAGGTTAAATATATTGGATATAAATTACATCCAGAGAGAGAAAAAGTGGATAAGATCAATGACTTTCAGTATCATTATTTTTTATACGACATAAATTATTTCAATAATGAAATCTGAATTTTATGGGAGTCCAAATTAAATAACCATAATGTATATAATATATTTATTAATTCTACAATGTAGTTATTTAATATCCAAAAAGTATAAAGGTAAATTTTTATTTTTTTTATATCTATACATCGTATATCTTTTAGCTTACAAATACAAATTTATAAAATGATTAATTTGAAACAAGGCCCACATGACCTAAGCTATACATCAACCTATATTTTCTTAAATGTATTAAAAATTGATACCTAATGTTTAAGACCCCAAATACATCTATAGATAAAATTTAAAAAAATCAAAAATGTAATTTAGTTTAATTTAATTATAACAAAAGTTTTTATTTAATTCAAGCTCATAGTAAATTTTAAATTATTTTGGTTCCAAGAAATATCTAAAAGTGTATAAAAATGGTCAACCTTTTGAAAGTAAAACACCTGAGTCCATATTATATAGAGGCTGTAGAAAATAAAAAAGTATCTTAGTGAAGCGTAACTACGGCTTTTTCACTCCACTTTAAATTTAAACTAAAATTATCGACTTTTTTGCGTGACTCTTTTCTTCTCAGTATTATATAGTCTAATGAAACTTTTTTTATAAAAATAAATATACTATTCACGTTTACCGCTTATTTATAATTGTTTACCAAATTTTTTTCCTTTTTTTTTCTTTATTTTGGAAAATTTACAATCTGTATTTATAAACACGATAAGTAAAATTGTAATAATATATTGTTTTCCAATTTCGCTTTAACTTTGGCTGATTATGGTGTTTTTATTGTAACGTATAGCTACCTAACAGTTGCTATATAAAAATACGATATAATTTATATATTATCATTTACTAATTGCAGATATAATCAGTGCCGGATTAAACATTTGTGGGCCTCTAGGCAATTAAAATGTTCGGTCCTACAAAATTATTTTTTATATACGCCTTTAACATTACCATCCAATAATTAAAATAAATTGCTTTAATTATAACCAACTATTATTAATAAATTAAATCAAGTTTACAAAATTATTTTATTTACAAGAAAAATGAATTAATTATTATATTTATTATATTAATAAATAAAATCAAGTTTACTAAATTATTTTATTTACAAGAAAAATGAATTAATTATTATATTATTTCTAATTTTTTTTTAAATAATTTTGTTATTATTACCGCCTATAACGCCTACAAAATAATGCATATCATATTTCATAATGACTTTTGTTCCATAAATTCGTAAATAAAATACAGGTGTTAATGAACAAAAAAAAAAAATATAGTTTTTCTTTTTTAAAGGGCCCCTTGAATGAGTGAGACCCTAAGGCGGGCTACTCAGCCTAATGGGCGATCCGGCGCTGAATATATATATTATATACATACACATATACATATTATATATACATACAGTGAAACCTCTTAATGCTGGACACTATTGGTCACTGATATTTTGTCGGCTATTAAAAGAAAGAAATTTGAGTTTTATAAAATTATAATTACAGATTAAATTAAAATATAAATCAAAATAATGTTATTTTTATATTAATTAAATATATACATTTTAAAAATAACATGAAAAAAATACATTTGTAGTGTAGTATCACAAATACAATTAAATACTAATACGTTTACGAACTACATTTTGTCGATACAATAAAACGCCATTCCAACGAAATAAAATATACAATACTTTATAATAATACATGTAATAAAAAAGACCTAAAAGCGTTTTTATTTATTTCATTTAGATATTTCAGAATTATTCTTAATTTATGATAAAAATCATCAATTTCAAAAATTAAAATTTTAATTAAAATTAAAAGTGCCGGTTATTTAGAGTATACCGTAATTCCTATATAAAAGTATTAAACAATTCCCGTACCTGAAAAATCTTCCGTTATTTGGAGGTGTCCATTATTCAAAAGTGCCCGTTAAGAAAAGTTGAATTGTATATATGTATATGTATATATAAAAGAATTGGCCTTTTTTATGTTCCTATTTTATGACAACACTATTTAATATTTTTCGAATTTTTTTTTCACAGAGTTGTTCCAAATACTTTCTTAAGTGTCACCACGTAACCCGATTTTTAATTTTTTTTTTTTGTCAAAGGGGTGAGATAGGAGGGATTGGAAAAATGGTAATTAATATCGTCACAAAATTAGAATAAAATATATAATCTCCCTTCCCTCCACTCAGACAAAAAAATAAATAAACGTGGTGAAACTTAGGAGAGTATTTAGCACAACTCTGTGAAAAAAAAATTGGAAAAATGTTAATTAGTGTCATCACAAAATTGGAACATTAAAAAGGCCTGTTCTTTTTTTATATATATAAAGATAAGGATTATAGAATAATTTTTTATACTATAATGTGTATAGAATCATTAGAATATTTTCTAAATATTATTATTATAATTATAATTATTTTTATTATTTATAATTCAGCTACTACTGCTATTTAGCACTTGATTAAATTAAGTAAGATAAATTTTTTTCTTTTTTAAAATACGAAAATGTGTTTATTTAAATATTTCAGTTAGAGGAAAGCAAACACTACACACGGGATAAGTCGGGTAATTCAGCTAGTTTATATATATACATGTAATTTTTTATACAGATAAAACCAGGTAATGTTCGGTTATAAGGTGAAATAAGTCGTTAATGATAAACAATTATAAACGCCCAAGGAATATAATAAAACATAAGCTTTTGGTGTTATACGCTAATGCTACAGCTACCAACATTGTATGCGTGTGTACGAGCGTAGACCTGTATTTTTTTTTTTTTTTAGTCGTTAGAATAAAACCATCCACACCACGCGATAATGGTATAAAAGATGAGTATGTTTTACATTATTCGTTGATTGTATAATATCATTTTACATTAGATGTCAAAGGATATTTTTTCTTTTTGTTATAGTAGAAATGGTCATAAAAGAATCAAATAGCTAGGGTGATGACTGGTGACGGCGAGCAAAACTAATTACGAAGGATTGTATAAACTGATTAAAATATGAAAACAAACTTGTCACGTATAATATTCTTATTACTGAATACTTTCATTATTATTCCATAATGATGTTAACTATAATATTATTTAAATGACTAGCGTCAGAGTACCCACATTTAACAGTATTTTAGTTCTCCGGTCCTTTACTTTTCTTAACGGCCAAGTTCGATATGATCTTATACTCACACTTTTTCTAAGTACCACAATTCCGGTAAACCAATACTAAATTATGATTTTTTTTTTTTTTTGTTTAGACATATGAAATATGGTCGTCCTAGGACCCCGAGTAAATCAGTCCAACACTGCTTATATGTGTCATACTCAATACCTAAAATATGTGTCAGTCAATTACCATAAATTATAAAATTATTTACCATGAATATAAAGGTTTTGGTTTTTGTATACACATTTTTACTGAACAATTTTAAAAGGAAAACTGATTACATACACTCATTTTTAGATTTTCTGTCACGTGAATCGAATTAATCTGATACATTAGTATTTGCTTTGACATATTTATATATTAAATATGTAGATATAACAAATTTAATTTTTAAATTGTAAACATTTTTCAATAAACTTCAAACAGTTCAATAATAATATTTATAGCATACATATGTAAACTAAAATTCTGAACTCACACTACCTTAAAAATATCTAGTTAACTTGTAAATATTAAATTATCAACACACAATATATATTATACATTTATACATGTAAATCTGTTCAACTGATCTTTATTGTAAATTCTATACTAAGATTACCTATCTGAAATTAAGTATTAAAACTATCCGTACGTATTAATTATTATACGTGCACATTTATATTATGTATATTTTAAACTAAATACAGTTGTACAAAGTATTTAATGAGTTTAACTATATATAGTGAATACTCCATGGGGATTGTAGTGTCCATCTACACTACCTAGTGTCCAACGTTTGTACCATTTTTTCACTCCAAAAATTATATATTTATCGAATGCGGAAAAGCTTAACTTGACAAATACGCTAACTGACTATAATGCAACTTCAATAGTATATATTGATTATATACCTATATTTTAAAATTCTTTACTGTCCAACTCAAATTGAAGATTACTATATAAAAAAAAGCTAATATAAAATTAAAAAAATTATTATCATACTATTCAATAATAATTACAATAATTTAATAAAATTATTTAATTATTTGTAAATAATTTATTATTATATAAAATATAATAATAATATACCTTAAATGATCATCAAAATAACATATATTTGTAAAAAGTATAACTCGTGGTGTGTTAACTTATAACATAAGTTAATTTTATTACTGTTAATATTATTATTATTATTTTTTTTTTTACTTTAAAATACTATCTACATGTACACGTAGGTTGTACGAAATAAGAAAGTTTGATTTTAAACGGGTTATATGTATGAAATAGTAGGAGGTGAGGCGCGTAATGGCAACCACCAATTCATATAAAAACACGTGTTCAAATTAACTAAATGGATTGTTTTTTTTGCGATGGTGTAGATATGCGTTCAGATTCACGGAACGGTGTTGAAGAGTCAAACTTTGGGAACAACATCATGACTGCAGGACTAACTTGCCGCAAGTCCTCGAGAACATCCTGCCAACGAGAACTCGAACTTACCGACTCATCGTCGGTGAGTTTTTTCTATTTTTATTAGTACACTGCGCACCGAACGCGTTTCTGTGTTTACACTATGTAAAATATTTAGTGGAATTTATCTATGGTAGATCAGTGACGACACGTGCACCGGTTCGGATGGACAAGGTCAGAGCGGCAGCGGACCGGTCAGATCCGGTAACCGGAGGAAGCGCAAGTCTAGCGGCAAAGACAAGAACGTCAGAAGATTGGAGAGTAATGAGAGGGAAAGACTGCGAATGCACAGCATCAACGATGCCTTTCAGGTATATATTGATAAGCTATAAATAGTACTTAGGTGTGGGCATTTTAGGTGGGTACCCTTTATTACATACTACACATGTATAATGTTTATGTATGTATATACACATGTTACCTATATTGGTAACGTTCCAAATCCGGACAAATCACGTATAACATCAATAACAATTTGTCCACATTTAATCTAGAGGTACATCACTGTTTACATAACTTATATATGACACCATATATTGTAATACAGATCCTGCAATACACTTTATTACAGTTACTTCATTACAACGTAGTACAGTTCATTGGAACGTAGATACATAATAATATACCTATAGTATTCTATTTGTTTTCAGTAAAAATAATCAAATATTGTTAGAAAATCATTAAACAAACTTAAAATTTCTTTTTTTTTTTTACACGTGTAAAATTTTAATTATGTAATGAAATTTATTATCAATAAAAGTCATTTTAACAAATTATTTTTAAGAAACCATATACATACCAAAAACAGAACTTAAATAAATATTATAAATACAACACTTAAACTTAAAATACTTTTGATAGTACAATTAAATAAAGAATATTATATAAGTATAAACGAAAATATTTTTTTTAAAAGCATGGATATTTTTTATTTCGAAAACAATAAATGTCCAAAATAATCCTAGTTAAATTTATTTACAAATAATTCATGATCATTAACATAGTTTATTGATGAACTAAGATGCATTCGTAGTGATTTTTTAATTTCATTTAATATTGTCACGTTCAAATTGAATAGTTGCGCATGTCTCATGTCTCATGTCTTCTTTAAAGATAGAATTTTGTGTTTTTTTTCTCGTGAAATAAAATTATACCCACGCTGTATCAATTGTTTTAACAATTTATTTCTATGTTCCGCATGTATACGGCGATTTATATCAGTACCTGAATGGATATAACATAAAACTTAAAACATTAGATAATAATAATAATTAGTTATAATAAGTATATCTTCATATAACATTAAATACTTTATCTGTACCACATACTTTTGATATTCATAGACAATATGACCCAAATAACCAAAATTCTATAGAGGTAAAATGTTCATCAAATATTCAAAATTGGGTAGGTACATATATAATATTTTAATAAAAATCACTAAAATGTGAATTGAAAAAATTCAAAATAAATAATTGTTTTTACAGTATACGGTAAAATAATGGTTTGTATTAGAAGGTAATTATATGCAATTAAGATAGACATGTACAACATATTAATCGAGAAGGCGAATCAACATACCGAATTAATGGATGGCATAATATTATATTGATGATAGAATTTTAACAATATGGGAATGAAATAGTTCGAAATATGTTACGGAAGACTTTTAGTAAAAACGAGGAAGAACTATGTTTGTTTAAACGTGAAGTGTTTTTGGGTGAACAGGAGTAACGATGATTTGTTTATGTGCGTCGGCGAACGAGATAAACGGTTATACACTTTCTAAGTTACTATGGTAACCCAAGGAAATTCAATTACTATGTATGTATATATAATATACATCAAGAGGTTGAAAAAAGCGAATAAGGATTCTGTCTACCTTTTAATTACGCTAAAACGTTGTCTTGGGGTGGTCGATGGACCTCGGTGACGCCACTCGTATATAAGAAAGATGGCGATGAGGAGAATTTACATGCCTTTAATTTTCACATAAGAGCGCATAATAATTTATTTTAACAGCGAAAAAACTTTTGAACAAATTAAATATAAAATGTATCATCATAACTCTTAAATTAAACAATTTTAATTTTAATCTTTAAAATTTTCATTTTATCCTCGACACCAAATTTAAATTTAAAATTAGTATGACTTTTTTCAAATACTTCAGATCAATATGACGAGTATTTGGCATAAATATGCCAATCATGTAGACTAATTATTAATACCAAGGATAGTTCGAAAACTCCAATATCCGGTTGGAGTGTAGCATATTAAAAGCTAAGCGTACATATGTATGTATATGTATTAGTTATGTACGAGTAATTTCAAATTTGTGACAATAAACCAATAATAAAGGCTACTGAAAATTGGTCATTGTTCAATGTATTTAAATCGCTAAGCAAAAGAAAAAAATATTTATTTTTAAAAGTTAAAAATATTTGAATTCGTTACCTTCTTGTATGTGATTTGTAAGAAATTATTATTATTATTATTTTTTTTTTTTAATAATAATACAGTAAAATTATATTTTGAAAAAAAAAGGAAATTAGTTTAGTACTAGAATAAATAAATATTGCAATAAATCGAAAATATATTTCCTACAAAACCTAGAAAAGAGAATAAGAAATTCAAATATAATTTTAAAAATTAAAATCGGGTAACAAAAATCTAACACAACTAAATTTTAAATTAATTAATTATGTAAAATCGAAAAACTCTCTATCTACAAATTTCTATTTGATTTATAAATTATATTATTTAAAGATTTTCATTTTTACTATTTAAAACCATATTTTCATGTATTAGTGAGTGATAAATACAAAGTAGCAAAAAATGTTTTCCCGGTAATAGTGTCTTAAGTATGTCAACATTACTACGATAAAAAATATTTTTAAATATAAATTAATTAGTAAATTCGTATGATATACATATTCATAGCATATGTCTTTTCAAAGTATGTTCAACTTATTGTAAAAAACCTATTTTACAAATTGAGTTCCATTTTTTTTAATTTAAATTACAATAAAAAGCTTAACATAAATTAATAATTTTATAAGTTTAATTTACGAATATGAAAATTATACTTCTTCAAATCAATTTTAAATTATTAACATTGATATCATATAAAAAAATAATATGCAATGATACTTCATATGATAAAATTAAAAATATGTACTTTATTTATTATGTACTTAATTTATAGTTCAAATGAATAGTTTAAAAGGCTTCATCAATTATATAGAAAAAATTCATAATTATTTCCACAGTTAAAAAATATAATTAAACTATTTTTGTTAACCATGATGGCACTTGGTAGTTATATAAACTGGTTATAACTTCTAATTATTAAAATTAAATTTTTCTTAAATAAGACGGTTAAAATACTTAGATCTAAAAATTTATATCAAAAATTATACAAATATTTTTTTTATCGCAATGAAAGATCTACTTTCAATCATTATTTTTTTTTTTAATCAATCTATAGAATTTATATATAAAAAAATATGCATTTTTTATATTATCCATCATTCTACAATATTATAATTAAATTTATTTTGTGTTTGACTATACTCGTATACGATATCTCGTGAGGATTGTTACATTTTAGTTTTAATTATTTTATCAAAAATGAAAGTATAAAACGTAATAAGGTTTACTATATTTCAAAATAATTGTTTAATTACAGCCTTTATGAAAATTATCTTTTACATAAAAAAAAAAATTTGTAATAAACGTATATTTATTATTATATTTATTTCTCTAACTCTAAATGGTTATGTAAATATAACATAAAATGTAATTTAATAAAACTCTAAGTAATTATATATTAAAATAATGAAGGAACATTTTTAATATTTTTTATGCTCGCGCAATAACATAGAAAAATATTTTTCTTTTGAACATATTGAACGGAGCCATAATAAATCTAGATATATTATGCTTAAACTGATCTATATTTAGTGTCTTCTGCTTAACCTTTGGGTCTGCTGCGACATCATGAAAATGAGGTTGACTTATCTTTTTAAATTTTAAATTTGTTATAAACGTAGAATATCTAATGTAGTCTAAGAAATACGAGATAGATTATATTTTTCATCCGTGTTGATGGCGTGTAATTAAGTGTATTACAACCAGTAAATAATTTAAACAGGAATAAAAGCAATATTTATTAGTCGAGCAAAATGCTTAATTAGGATACATGACAATACACTTGTAAAGTTATAACCTCTACGTGTATAATTGATGTGCCTTATTCCTACAGTAACTATACTTGTATAAGAGTATAATAACTATTCAAAATATTTTATTAGTATAAACGAATTTTCTTTTCATTAATTACCTTACATCTACACTAAAAAAACGCAAATAAAATTTAAAACCTAATGTAAAACGTATTGTTCATACTCCCAAGCACATATTTGTTTCCGAAAATAATGAAAATGATTTTAAATTTTTTATTTGGAGGTTCTTGCATAGTGTTAAAACTATTACACGTATTCATATAGACTCCTTTGTTTTCATACGCTTTTATTTATTACTCCCTAGCTGTATAAAAACAAATTGTCATTTAGTGTCAACTGCTTAGAAAACAGTGTTTAATTTTAAAATATTTAAAACACATACACACATATACATACACATGCACAAGAAAAACAACAATAATTAGTCGAATCAACATATGGGTATAATATTTTGAAGGGATAAAATCCAAAAACACATTGCCTTCTTTCTCTAATCGTTTCCATTGTAAAATATTCTTGTAAAATATTGAGGTATAAAATAAAATAATACAAAGGAATCGAAATTCACTAATGTTGAAAAATACATTTTTTTTTTTAATAAAAAAATGTTTAAAACAAAATAAAACACAATATTAATGAACATAAATATTATTTTGAAAATATTTACTGTAAAATTAATTAAAAAAAAAAATAATAATAATAAATAAATTTTACTTGATATTATAATTCTCATACTAATACTATATAATACTAATCTATTAAATAAACTACACGAAAAATTATATTTAAAATTTGTGACGCTAAACACTAAATGACGTCATACTGGTCACGGGTGTCATGTGACACATTTATTAATCACTGTAGTAGGAAACTTCCCGATCATACATGGGATAACGTTTCTATAGAAATCGTATTAGGAATTGTCCAGTTCAAATGTGGTTATTAGGGATTTTCGCGTGTAGGAAGCGGCACTGAACCGAAACAGGGTCACCATTGTGTTGTGACATCTCTGTGGCGACACATCGGTGACGCAGGGATGTATCTAAATAAAACAAATTGGAAACGCT